AGGGAACAGGTAACTTTTTTGGATGTTTTTTCAAGTGTACTGTACAAATACGCCTTACTATATCCTGACATGAAACATCCAATGGCACTTGCCTTGGATGAAATGGAAAATATCCTTTAAAGGCAGCATCCCTCTTCATCTCATGAAAATGAATGTCTGGTTTGTATTTTAAGCATGTAATAACTACAGAAGACAGGCATTAATAACTTAAAACCTTTCTTAAAGACAAAACTATCATTACAGCACTTTGACAGACAAGCATGATTGAGGGATTTGCATTCATGTTTTAGTTGAAAGTGAAGTTTTAACTACGCAATTTATTTGCTCTGTTTCTTTTATGAGTAAGAAGAGTATTGAAAATACTCCCTCATCATGCTCATTGGAGTGTCATCATTTTTATGGTACTGCTGGTCCGGTTCAAATTTGGTTAGGTAGCAAGTGGTAGTTGTTTGGAAACCAACATGTGTTAGTAAAGCAAAAGCAAGAGAGATTTCATTAGAGAGAAGTCAGCAGGAGAGAAAAGCACGTGCTTAGGTATGTTCTTCTGTGGATGCTACATTACCACAAAGAGTTGTAATAATTATAACTGCACTTCATGAAATCAAAACTAATGAATGTGCACATCTTTTTACTTAAAAATGCTTAACAAAGCTCAGGAAAAAAAAAAAGATAAAAATCAGTTCTTCTAATGGGGAAATTGCTTCCTGCTCAAATTGTGGTGTTAATAAAGCATCACATATTACAAAGATCCTAGAGCGTCTTCTGCCAATTTGCCAAACTCTAGTATGAAAAAAGCTTCGGCACAAGATCTTGTAATCTCAGTCACATTTGTAAATGAGAGAGAAGAAATGGATGCCCTAAACCTTGGGCAACCCCATCATCTTCTGGACTCTAAAGAGGTGCTGGAAATCTGAGACCCTTGTATCTTCGGCAGTGTCTTTGTTACACAAGCCATATGCTGATATAAGTGAGGGTAGACCCCAAATACGGGTGATAAATTTCAGTCATTCTTGGCAACAGATAAGGAGAACAGAAGGGAAAGGGAGAAGGTGCAGTAGAGCTAGCCAGACCATTTTTTAAAAAATACTAAACCGTTCACTGTGTCACGACCATTGTGAAAACATCAGAAATAACAGAACATTTCTGACCAACTGTAGTACCTCCCTTGAGATCTGTGCATTTGGTGGAATATTTTTTTAATTATATAAAAAATTATGAACAGTTCAGAAAAGCATGTCCTAGCATGAGATTGCAGATGCAGTTTTGGTGGTTCCCCTGACATTGTGCAGTAGATACACCACTGTCTCTGAAACATTATCTCGAATGGAAGATCTGTCAAGTCCAAGAGCCTGTTTAGTGTAATCTATTTTTGTCATACCTTGTCTTGTTTTCTCACTTAGCAATTAGTTTAAGATAGGCTTAACATTTGTGCTGATGTGCAAGTGTATCTCTGTGTTAAGGAAGAATGAAGGGCTGGGAAGGAAAAAAAGAGGGAGTGAGGGAGAGGCATTGTCCAACAGATACATCAGTGTGAGAGTCAGAAGAGCTGCCTTCAGTTCCCAGCTTTGCTGCTGTCCTGTAGTGTGACCTTCAACCAGTCTCACTGCTTCCTGGTACCTCAGTTTACCAATCTTTAAGATGTAAATAGTGACACTTTCTTTTCCCTTGCGCTGCAAGGGTTCAGATTAAAAGGGCTATGGAGTCTGAATTATTACTATTTTGGGAAGCAGATAACAAGCATTGGTTCTGAGTAAAGTAACGCTTCTGCCTCCCCCCGCACAGAGTTATTCTAACTGATGAAACTCTGCAAAGACTCCCAAGCTGTAATCCAAAAAAGTGTCTGGGCTTCAGTAAGATGTACCACAATTTAGATATCAAATAAGTGTAAACCCCCATACATAATAGTGATGCACAGCATCACTGAAATCAGGAGGTCAGTAAGTCCATCTTGAATCTGCTGAGAAAGAATAAAGCCTTGTGCGTAAATGTAAAGTAGATTGGGAATGGCTAAACCATGAATAACTGCTTTAACAGTTATGTCTTACAAAATTACATTCCATGGATAAACTTTTTTTTTTTTTAATTGAAAAAATAGTGTTATGCACTGCCTAGGAAATCTCACAGGGTGGCAGAAGCTGAGTAACATTTCCGTTCTCTGTGAGCTCTGTAATTCAGCATCTCATGTTGTTCAGAATTTTGTGTGCTGTTCTCCCCATGTTAACATCAAGATATTTTTTCCTGTGCCTATAGCGCAGAGGTTGAAACAAACCCTAGAGCCCTGTGATACTGAATATCCAGCTTTTGTTTCCGAACGCACTATAAAGGAGACCACTGGGAATATTGCTTGCGATGACTGTTTCAAGTAAGCCCTTTCAATTTTTTTTATACAACTGTTTGTGACAAAGCAGTAAAACTGAATTATTCAAGGTTATGTTGAAGAACGTACAAGTCTGTTATGTTTTATCTTACATAATGACCTCTGTCAGGGTGTCATTTCTCTTATTACAGGGGTCATTTAAAAGTTTGATATTCTTAAATTAAAGCAGTGCCTATTATTTTCTACCAAAAAATGTAAAACCAGTAGAGGCTTATGCTAATTTCAAGGAATGGTGAATGTTTTAAGACTTTTCCTGGATGCAGGCACTGTTCTAAGGCACATTCTGTAAAGATTTAGGTACAGAATGGTTAGTGCAGTTAGCTCTTCTATACAGGGTAGGTTAGAAGTGCCCTTGTGGTACTGTGAGATCTGGTGGTTTTACTTGAAAGCCAAACAGCATTTCCTCCTTAGAATTGTGAGGCTGACAGAGTGGGAGAGGGTTAAATCTATCCTCCAAACTTTCAGTGCTGGGCAGCTGAGTTTAAAGTAACAAATCTCACATGGCAGTGCTGCAACCTTGTCAGTTCTACCGTTGCTGCTGTAAAGTTGTCCCTCGTAGGGTTAAAAGAGAAAGACTTCAGTCTAGCTTTCCTCCTGCATACTGAAAATGTCTTTTTCTCTGCATTTAATGCCTATGTGCAGTGACGTTTTTACTGTAGTTGTGGTGCATTGTTATTGAAGAATTGCGTAGGTATCGTTTATGCAAGTTTCTGTACTTCAGTAAGTCTCTTCATTGGATTTCCTTTATGCTGGGAGGTGATCATCGCAAAGGAGATTAGTATTTACAGCAATAATTTGTCTATCAATATAAATGTCAAGAAGAATTTATAAGTCAAACAAAAATTGTTACAACTCTCCTTTTCCAGACTAAATCAATATGCAATTAGCAAATAAAGGTGACAACTTGTCTCTTTGAAGTCAATAGGTGTGCTTTTGGACTTGCTCCTAAATTTTCTCTTTGATATCTTCATTGTTTTAAAACAGGAAATAGGAGTAAGTACACTGGAGATATATTTTAAGTGCTAACACTCACTTTTAATTTGCTGCTGACCAACTTTTAATTATAAGGAAATTATTAATATCTAGTATGAATAATTGTTTTTATGTGGCTTTGGAAGTATGAAAGTGCTTTGTAAATCGATCCTAGGGAACCCTTTAAGTGTAACAATAGGTCCCACTGCCTGAAAAGTACAAACAACAAAATCAAGCTGTGACTTTTCCACTTGACGTATCAAATACAATGTATGTTACACCGCTATGAGTGCTTGCATGGAGAATGCAAGCAGCCTTATTTTGTGATCGTTTAGCAGAAGATTACTGAGAATTTGTGCAACAAGTTATCATACATCTCTTATGTTTAAATATTGCAGACAGACATGATTCCATGAAAAGATTAATTTAACAGGACCAGGTTTTCTCAAAGGAATGTGGATTTCAGTCTGTCTTCTTAGGTAACTTCAGGTCAAAGGAAATAACTTTCAAAAATAACACAATTCTGCAATACTTGGACAGCACTGAGTTGGAAACTGACTTTAGTGAAAATTATAGTATTTCAAAAATAACGCGCTAAGATCTTTTTCATAGAAAAACATTTTGTGTTCCACAGTGGAACAAAAAAAAAAATAAAAGAAAACCCTGTAAGCTACAAACTGATCTCAAGGCACCCATTATTTTTCTCCACAAGCAATGGCAAAACCTAAAGAAATAATCCAGAAGAACTATTAGATTCTCATGGGAAAGTTCTTCGTGATACCGTTTACCCACTGTCATTAACAATCTACAAATTGCATCTAAGATTGCAGGCTGTGTTGGATTCCAAATATTTTTGTTATAACCCAGGACACTTTCCCGCAGAACAGCTAAGGAATTTGACCCAAAGTCCTTTGTAGACCTACATCTTCTGACCCAGTTTTCTGTTTCATGGCCTCAGTACCAATAAATATTTTTACAAGCAAGTGTATTGCTTAATACTTGTAATTTAAGAATGATGGGCTCAATCGGTCAAAATTAGGGTTCAACCTTATATGCAGTGAGTCTTGAACTGACACTGCATTCAATGGTTAATCTGCACAGCATCTGTTGCATCCTGGGCTCCCAGTTGAGATCCCTTTGAGTCAGTGGGATTATTTTCTGTGTCCTCGCATTGTGTTATAGATTAATCTGTTTGATATATACTTGCAAATCTTGATTACAACTAGCAAAGATAGTTGTAAATATTTGGCTGAATATACACCCACTCTAGTATTGCAAACCTATTTGAAAGACACTGGAAAAGTCAGTATATTGTGAACAGGTTTGCAAACAAAAGTTGTGCAAATACTCTGCTGCAAGAAAGTTTGTGTCACAAATTAGTCGTTCAAGTCGCTGTCTTTTGTTTCTACAGGGTCAGGCACTACTATAGAGCCCTCGTCTGAAAAAGGAGACTAAAAGCAGTCTCTTAGTAGAAGTAAAAATGATGACTGATGTTAATTGAAACCGTATAATGTTACTTAGATAAGATATTTTGGAGCACAAATACTGTGTTATTGCTAACAACGTCGCAGTCATAGTCAACAAGGTCACATAGCGAGAGCCAGAGGCGCAGTCTTATCCCCTCCTGGGTGTGCTGTTACAGATCTTATGGAAATACTCCGCGCTTCACAGTTACCCAGGGGAGCAGTTACCAACTGTCGTTATGAAAACTAAGCTTTAGTCTTATAAAAGTTTCCAATTATAATTTTTAATCATGGTTGCTTTGATTTAAATCAAAGTATCCTCACAAATAAATCACACAGTGGAAAGGACAACGTGCTAATTACTTCGTAAATAGCTGGCTCGCCTTTTCAGCCATCTCTGAAAACTTCCATCGATGGAAGGGCACCTATACACTTAAGCAGACTTTGAGTCAGGCACTAAATGTATACAGACATATAAAATACACTGTCTATATGTAAACTTATCTCTTACTAGCAAAAAATAAATGCTACTTTGGGATAATTTGCAATGTTTAAAAACAATTTTCAAAAATATAGGTTTTATTAAGAAAGCAGGAGCCTAAAAGAAAATAAGAATTAACATAAGAATGTCATTAGGGTCAGGGTTTGGCTGTCCCACCCCATAATTTGTTGTTATTCAATATCCCAACGATTATTAAATTAATCTGTTATTTAAACAGCAATCAAAAACAAGTCAACCCACATTTTCTAAGCACTGTCAACAAGACAGAGAAACTGGGATTTTTTAAAAAAATCTGAAATGCTTTCATATTTTCCAGTAAGCTATTCCCTTTTATAGCAAAAAACTTAAAAAAAAAAAAAAAAAAAAAGAGAGAGAGAGAGGAAAAAGAGGAGAAAAAAAAGCATTGCTTCTGAAAACTGGGATGATAGACTGTTCAATGTTCTATGGCAGCCTCAGTGTTGGAAATAAATTGCTAGAGAGAAATGTTTTTTCTTTATCAATGTTGACTGGCACTCTTACTGTTGAGTCAGAACTACACTAACGCCAAACGCACTTGCAGTGGGTTTTAAAGGTGGTGTGCTGCTCGGAGATGTGTTTTTAATTAGACATTAAATTTGAAGTCTTTGGCTAAATAAGCATCTCAATGCTGCTTGGAGTTTTATGAGGTATTGCCCCAGCATGTTAGCCAATTTTTAACACAAGTAAGCATATCAACCCAAGTTCTTCGGCAATTCTTACTGGTTACATGACCAGGTTTTGTTTTCTGGTGATCTCAGCATTGCAAGGTTTAATTGCTGATACTTAGAAAGCACTAAAAATGTCTAAGGAGAGCATACTTAGAAAGACAAAGTTGTTGTTACCAATTAGAAAGGATGATGGCTGTTATGATATTTGACCAGAGAACGTTACCTGATCTTTTTAGTATATCCACTCATCTGTTTGTAGAACAAACAAATAAACAAAAAATTTCTCTAATTTCAAATCTTATTTTTGCATGAAAAATCAGATGTTCTCCTTTAGCTTCATTTAGGAAAATACCATTAATTTTAACATTAACTCAGGTGCTATGAGTGTGGGTATAGATCTTCCGTAGGCACAGTAACTTACTCATCTGACTATTAAGTATATGCATTAAAATTTCAAAAAGTTGCAATGAACCATTTGATTACATAGTTGCTGAATTTGCATGTTCAACTGTAGAAACTCTGGGTACACAAATCAGGCAGCAGTTGCACAGTCAAATGCTTAAAAATCTGCCCTTTTAACCTCTCCTGTTCATCTGTGATGACATACTGGACTTGGACGCAGATCAAAAATCTGGCCTTACTTCCAGTGACCCAGGAGGCAAAGCCCCCTTCCTTTTCATTGCAGCACTCATGGGTCCCTAAGGTCAATACCAAAATCCCAAAGAAACTGTTTTGTTCCCAGGTGATTCTTTGTACATAGTCTTAAGACACAAAATAAAGAGAAAAGTGAATATAAGAGCGCCGTATTTTCATTAGGGAAGCAAGGAAGTACGTAGCTACAATCACCCTAACCCTGCGAAAGACTTGTATGTGTGTTTTAATTATGCGAGATGAATATAAGTGTTCCCTTTACTTTGTTGTATCTCACATGTAAATTGCCTGTTAAATCGATAGGAACTACTTATTTGATTAAACACTGTCCCACATACTATATATTTGGCCCATTGGAGTGTTAGTAAGCAGACGATTATTTAACAGGGAGAATCATCGATAAACCAAATGCCTTCTCTTGCGTTCTTAGAGACTGGGCATTGAGTGCTGTTCATTGGCAATAAAAAGAGGTAAATGGCAGTGGAATTATAGTTCAGGATGACACCAAACTCTTCATGAGGATATATAACGGCAAATTTCAGACTTGTCCCCTGAATGCGCTTATTTGGCAGTAACAGATAAATAACAATACAAATTAGATTCAGATTGTTCAGGGCATGAGTATATTTGTGTCAGGAATAGTGCAATCTGCAGACATTAAAATGGTAATGGTTTTTAAAAACCACTTAATCTTGAGACATACCACCATTT